TAAGAAGGAACCAACCCTATGACACCTTGATTTTGGACCTCTAGCCTCTGGAACTGTGAGACATAATGTTCTGTTGTTTAAGCCACTTAGACTGGGATACTTTGTTAAGGCAGACCTAGCAAATGAATACAGTTTTCTATAGGCTTCTACAATTTTTATTTTAAGTTATTTTGGTTCTCGGTCAAGAGCAAATGTTTGGATTTTTCTTTTCATTAAAAAAATCCACAGAGTATTAGACATCCATGGGGGAAATAAACAGTGGTGAGACAGTAATCTCTATAGAAAACATAACTGGATTCCTATGTCATATCATACTAAAAAATAAATTCTAGATAAAGCCCTAAATGCAAAATGGCAAGATATTTTGTGACTGATATAGCATGTATTAAATTGTGACTGATATAGCATGTTTATAATATGGCAAGATATTTTGTGACTGATATAGCATGTATTAAATTGCAGGGAAAAGTGCAAAAAAATTTCCTAGCCAGTTTCTACAAACTCTAGAGCTATGTATTTTGGAGGAGGTAAACCTTAGAAGTCCCTAAAGCAATGTGAAATCCCATTCTTTTTTTAGAAGAAATCAATTGTTTTTCCCATTCTTTGGTGAACAGGTACTCAAGTCTGACTTTAGTGTTTTCAAGAACATGTCAGCAGTGTTTTATTAGTACTGTGAAAAATGCCTTCTTTTAACTCCTACTGAAGTTTCTAACACTACTGAGATTCATTTTGAGAATAACAACTTATTTCAACTGCCTCTGAAGACTGAAATGGCTAAAAAGAAACTTGTTATTACTGATATTGTTATTATTATGAATGAGACTGTTTCTACATTGTTGAAATCACTGCTTTGGCTTCCTACTGTAAATGCAGAATACAAGAACTTTCCACAGTGTCTAAACTGTATTATAAGCTGTAGCTGGTTAAATTAGTAAATAATCACTTCAGGATTCTTAGCACTTATCAGAACTCTGATATCTTTGCTGCTGCTGTCGGAGAGAAAATCAACTGGGGGCTCTGAAGGTTTCTGCTGTAAGGCCAGTAAAAAGTACTGAGTTACGTATCAGGAGGATTCTCACAAAACTCTGTCTGAAGCTCTATAAGGAGATACTCTCCTTAGGCAACAAGCATGACCCATGTCTCTCCTCTCCTTTTTCTGAGAGCAAGGCCCATTGTAGTCTTTCCACTTTTGATATAATTAGGATACGTGTCTAATATGTCCTATTAAACCCCACTGTCAATGTCACTGTGGTGTTATTTTCTAACTTAGAAAGTGAATTACACTTTCTCCAAATATGTGAGCCTGAGTTTCACAGAAATGAGACTCATAGGATCTTAGAAGCTAAAAGAGAATTTAGAGGGCATTTTGTCCAAATGAACAAATAAACCGGGATAAAGGTGTCCTCAGGTTACATGCAGCAGTGTCCAAGGGATACTAGGTGCCACAGAATAAACCTGACTCAACTCGTAAGTGAACTGATTTTACACAAATATTTTTGCATAGAGATTTAACTACTAAACAAAACATTTATACTCAATGCTATGTGCTGGGAACATTCAGTTTCTTCCGCTCTCAAATTAGAGAATCGGTGTTTGACAGATGCAGAAATCCCACCTAAATGATGAGGCTATGGTAATTACAACGATGGCTACCATTTATTGAACATTTACTATATGCTAGACATTGTGGTTAGAGCTTTACATACATTATCTTACTCAGTCCTCATGACATTATCAGGTAATAGTAATATAATTATCTCCATTATACAGAGGAGGAAACTAAGGTTAAAAGAGGTAAAAAACTTTCCACATTTGCCCAGCTAGTAAATAGCAGAATCAGTGTGTGGTCCCAGGGCTGTCTGGCTTTAAAGCCTATGATTTTAATTGCTGCCACATAAATTTGAAATTGAGGCACAGGAACTCTAAACAGTCTTGAATTGGAAGATCCTTAATCAAGTCACATATCTTTCTGTCCCTCAAGTTTTCCCAGCTATGAAATTAGAACAATGCTTCTCCTTTTCTTCATCATAATTAGAATACAGAAGCTCCTGAGATACTTATGCTTCCAGCACCCTATTTTAGAGCTGAAAAGAACCTTAGTTACACAAAAACTTGTCCATGAATGTTTACGGCAGCCTTATTCATAATAACCAACAGTAAAAACAATCTAAATGTCCATCAAGTAATGAATAGATAAACAAAATGTGTTATACCCATACGACAAAATATTCTTAAGCCATAAAAATGAATGAAAAACTGAAATAAACTACAATGTAGATAAAGCTTGGAAACATTATACTAAGGGAAAGAAGCTGGTCACATTGGGTCATATATATGTATGATTTTATTTACATGAAATGTCTAGAATAGGCCAATCTATAGAGACAGAAAGTAGGTTAGTGGCTGCCAGGGTCAGTGACTGCTAATGCGTACAGGGTTTCTTTTTGGGGAGGTAAAATGTTCTAATATTAGATAGTGGTGATGGTTGCACGACTCTGTAAATATACCAAAAGACACTAAATTATACACTTTAAAAAAGTAAATGTTATGGTATGTGAATTATATCTCAATAAAGCTGTTATTAAATAAAAAGAATCTTAGAGATCATAGCAGCAAAGGAAATACATTTAAAAATACTTTGGACAAAAGCATCACAGAAATATTGTACTATATTTAGATAATACACATTTCATGTTTATAAAAACACATCATATACACTGTAGGAAAAGTATGGCCTTCTATTACTTATGGTTGTTTTCTTGTTCTAGGAGAACCTTAAAGCACTTCGAAGGACTACTCAACTCTTTTAGTTCCTGAATATTCAGTTAATAAAATGATAATAAAATGCAATCTAACCTGGCTGCTCATGGAAACCCCAGGGGCTTGTCCTGTTTAAAAAGAGAAACGGGAAAAAAGCCACAAAACTCACTAAGGGCCTACATTCAAGGCCAGACAGGATAAGAAGAATCTAGATCTAGTGGAAATGTTATCCTCCTATATTCTTTTGGGAGTAGCTTATCAGGATTTTCTACAGAGAAATTAGGCAAAAGAACCTCAACTATAAAGACACTTGCATTAGTAAAATAACCATCGACACTGAAACAAATCCTTTACCTTCACATACTCTAACATAAACACATTATCTCATTTTCAGTACCTGCATGAGATACAATTTTTCACCCCAATTTTGAAGATAAGGAAAGTGAGGGACAAACGAGGTCACCCAGTTACTGAGAAACAGTCAAAATTCCACATGCCTCTAAATTCTAAGCTCTGTGTTCTTTCGCTACGTCATGCTGACGTTTACTTTCTCCTTTCATTTCTCTTGGCCACTTATTTTTCACCAGATCAGAAAGCAGACTTATTTTGTAAAATGAACTTAGCCTTCAAGAAGTAATTTCTCTTTTAATTGTTCTAGTTTGTTGTATTCCCTTCTCAACTCTCCATTAAGAAACATTTGCTCAGAATAAGTATAAAATAAATGTTTTTGAACAAATAAATTAATCTGGCCAGCCCTATCTGGTTAGTTTAATTGTTCATAAATAATGAATGATGACTCAAAAACCTGTAAAATCTTATAAGGAAACAGATTCCCTTCTAAGTTGCTGAAAATGGTTTTAGAACTGAGTCAGAAATGATGTTACTGAGCTGGCCCTGTAAATGACTTCTTGAGAACTGTCCAAATCTTCCTTTCCAACCATATCAAGTGGTGATTTGATTCCCTAGGTGGGAAACCTGCAGACAAGAGCTTTAGATTTGCCTATCACCTGAATTCTCACCTTTCATATACATTTTGATATTTCCTGCAACCAGCTGTTTTCCAAGTTATCAGGTTCTCTGTCTCTCTCCTTCCCTCACCATCTCTCTTTCTCCTTCCCCAACTTTCATTCTCTCCTTCTCTACCCCTTCTTCTTCCTCTGCCTTTCTCTAGTAGTAGCATTTACTTCACATTTCCTTGTAAGGCATAAAGGTTTTGACCAGTATCAGAGTACCCATGGAAACAACCAGGACACAAACTAATGGAATATCTTCAAACAGTATTACCCATCCAATTAGTAGAAGCATCAAGAATTTATTACATGCTGCTTTAGCAAAGTCTTTCCCAAAGATCTAAGCACCAAACATTAACCAGGCAGACAAGGAGAGCATTCCCATGAGAACATCAGTGCTTAGGGATGACCTCAGAATAAAAGTTCTTTGTTCCTCTGGTAACTGAAGAGTTAACAGTTTTTATTTTCAACACATAAGAAGGATTGAGGTACAACAGTAAATCCAGCTCTTAATTCAAAAGTGGGTGGATTAAGAGACCAGGGCATTAACAACATTCCTGCATTTGTTAAAAAGGTATGTTCTGTATTTAAATTAGATTTCCACTTATTCAACCCTCAAACTCCTTCTTTGCAATGATTTTATAGTCTTGACCTTGGTTAATTAATACTTTCATGACATCACCGTATAAAAGTACAAGTAAAGAATTTTTACTTGATGTGGAAATAGAGAACAAATTTTAAACAGATACACATACCTCCCTTCCTATTTAAATAATATGAAAGAACGTACATTCATAAATTTAACATCAATGAAAATTATTTGCTCTAGAAAATTTCCCTAAGCTCTTCAGTTTAAAAACAGCACCTTTTAATATTTGAACTAAACACATTAATTTTACCAGTGACAGACTTTCTCTAGGTAACAGAATCATAAGGAATCGCAGAAATCATTAAGCACAATGCTTTCATTTTAAAAATTAGAAAATTCCCAAGTTAAGTAACTGTCAAAGTCTCATAGTTGGTTAATGACAAGCAAGGGTCTTGGCTCCAGACTCCTAGTTTGGCACAGCTAAAGTTCTTGTAGTTGAAAAATACTTAAACTTGTTGATATAACACTAAAAGCAACAAAAATTACAACTACTCTTACCATATACATGATTGACATTATACAGCTCTGTTTCAACTTTCGGTATTTTATTCCATAAATTAATGGTATAACTTATGACTCACCTTGCTGAGCTGATCCAGTAACCTTTGGTTCTGTTCTGATAATTCCTGGACAGCCCGCGATTTTTCTCTATCTGCCTCTCGCAGATGAACCTGCTGCCTCTCCAACTCATCCTGAAGCTGTTTCACATCACTCTCCAGCTCTGACACACGGCCTTCCCACTCTCCTTCTCGGTTCTCAAATCGTCTTCTGAGCTCATGTTTCTCTTGTTCTAAGTGCTGGGTGAAAAGTGAAGAGGATTTAAAAAGTGTTAAAAATTCCACAGCCTTTCTTTTTTTCTCTTTCACACTCTCCTAACTGTTCTTTTCCCAAGTCAGTCAGCACAACGAAACACTGCCACATAGGAAAAGTGGCCCATATTTCACGAAATATTCCCTTCTTCCAGAGTAGGGAAGGAGCTGGTTTCAGAGAATGCCATTCCTACCGAAAATACTTAATGTTGTTATGTTTATTCTTGACTTTGGGCATGAGGTTCTAGACAGGAGTTCAACTGAAATTTAGCAAATCATCTAATCAATTGGTGAACTATACATTTAAACAACTTACAATGACTCCTTAAGAAGACTTCTTTTGAAATCATCTATAAGATCTGGCATAATACTAGGTACTAAGAATCACAGAATTTTTGGAGACAAAAAGAAACCCAGAGATCCTTCATATTAACTATTTTTTCTTACAAACAAGGCAACAGAAGATAAGAGGTTAAGTAACAAGCTCAAGGTCAATACTAGTAAATGGCAGAGCTCGAATTTGTGTCTAAATCACTTAACTGTTTTGCTCAAATCACAACTCAATAAATATTTGCTGCTATATATAACACTGCATTTCAAAATCATTAAGGGAAGTTCAGATTTAGGCCTACTTTAAATCATGGCCTATCAGCCTTACATATTTATTTCTGATCCATCCATTCATTCTTGAGTGCCTACTATGGGTCAGCCACTGTGCTGGGAACATAGTGATAAGCAAAACAGACGTGGTTCTTGCCTTTGTGGAGTTTTCATTTTAGTGGGAGAGGCTGATACAAGCAATAAGTTGTGTGTGACAAATGGTATGCAGGAAAAGTACAGATGGTTTGAAGTAGCAGCTCAAAAGAAAAGGATTCTTTTGGGTTGAAGGAAATAAGAACATCTTTTCCTTTCTGTGACATAAATATGGATGCCTCTTTTCAGAGGCAAGTATAATCTCCTACTTAAAAAGCACAGTATGTACAAAAAAGGCCAAGCCTATACTTCAAGGAGTATATGAAATATGTTAAAGCAATGGTCCCTCAACTTTTGGTGCTCTCAGAAAAGCTCTGGTATAATTGTCCAAAGTATATCTACCTGAACCCCAATTCCAACTGTGATTCAATTAAGAATGGGATGCTGTCTAGGCATGCATTCATCTACCATCCATCCATCCATCTATCTATCTATCTATCTATTTATCTATCTATTCTACAGGAAATCCTGATGCATTGAAGGTTGATATCAAGCACTGAGATTGTGTGAAGGAAGCTATGGTCTTATTCTATCAGAGTTCTCACTTTCTGAACATCTTTTGGAATAATTCTTTTGTAAAGCCGTAAGGGCCAGTGTATAATTATACAAGAAAATCAGTGCCATTGCTTCAATTACTTCACATCTGATCCATCCATCCATCCATCTATCTATCTATCTATCTATCTATCTATCTATCTATCTGTTCTACAGCAAATCCTGATGCATTGAAGATTGATATCAAGCACTGAGATTGTGTGAAGGAAGCTATGGTCTTATTCTATCAGAGTTCTCACTTTCTGAACATCTTTTGGAATAATTCTTTTGTAAAGCCGTAAGGGCCAGTGTATAATTATACAAGAAAATCAGTGCCATTGCTTCAATTACTTCACATCTGAGATATATCTAAAAAAGATTATTCCACTTCATCCTGCTATCTTATTCCCCTTACTTTGTTCCGGGTGACTTCTGAATGTTTCTGAAAGTCGAATTTACCGCCCAAAGATGAAAATTTACCATGATAGAGCAATCCGAAGAATGTGCCAAAAGATAAAAAGTTACCCAAAATTAAAATTCTGAGCACATTAGCAAAGGCGGTTTTCACAGAAATAAATGTACAACCTCCCAAATTGACCACTTTAAGAGAATAATTCACTTGGATATAGCCACTCTAGTATATCTGTTGAAAAAGTCACATTAACATTATACTTTGTATAGCTTCAGTTTGAAGTATGTGGGAAAAAGAATGACAAGAGAGGGACTTCTACTCAGCATGAGAATATTATGCTCTATCTATGCTTCTCTCAGATTGCTAAACTTCCAAAATGAGGATGTTTTAGTCACTGGAGACACCTCAGAAAGGTAAAATGCGGAAACAAATGCTAATTGCAATCCTAAAACTGTGATTCTTGGTTTTGAGTTTTTCCAAAATGGAAAAGAATGAGCAGAAGGCAACAGCAAGAACTCAGTAATCACAGTGTTACTGAGAGGCCAGATAAATTAGGCTGTGTTCTAAAAGAACAGAGAGACTTAAAAATATTCAGCAAACAGCTGTTAGTGAACAGCCCAACCAAGCAACTAAAACAATCCATTCCACTTGGAGGGGAGGGTTTGAGGACAGGTGGTGCTGATCAATCTATTCTGTCCTTACATTTCTTTGGAGATGTGACAAACTTCCTAATTCAGGTTTCCCAACACTCTGAAAAATAATCAAGACTTTCCTATTAATAAACACACAGAATTTAGCCCTTTGTTTACTTTGAAGAATGAAAGGTTTCTTTTAGAATTATATTTCCAATTAAGTGCTAAGTAAACCAATAAACTCTAGGCAGAATTATCAGTGAGTGTATGTATGGGTCAGGCTCTGTCTACGCTATTCCTTGTTTCTTGGGGTTATATGGTGTTTTAAAAGTTACTATCTACACTTGAACCTAATATACTGTTGTACGTCAATTATAAAAAAAGAAAAAAATATCAAAACTATCAATGATATCAAGAGCAAGAAAGTCCAAGAAACTGTCACAGCGAAGAAGAGACTAAGAAGATACGGAAACTAAATGTAATGTGGTACGCTGGATGGAATCCTGGGACAGAAAAAGACATTAGGTAAAGGCTAAGGAAATCTGAATAAACTAAGGACTTTAGTTAATAATAACATATCGGTATTGGTTTGTTAATTATGACAAATGTATCATAATATAAGATGTCAATAACAGAGGAAACTGGTTACAGGGCATACGGAAACTCTCTGTACCATCTTTCCAATTTTTCTGTAAATCTAGCCAATTCTGAAGTAGTAAGGGAGCAGATGGGACCAAAACAAAACCAGTCTCATCACTTAATAGTTAAATCAACATTCTCTCAGAATCTACTCGTGTTTATCTTTCAAACCAACCTGTGAGAAAATGTGTTTGACTCCACTGTCTGACAGTTTGTGGAAAATTACAAATGCTTTTTGAAGTAAGAGCTGATTCTCTACTTCTAACTATTTAATTTAATTGAAATTATAGTAGAGTAGCTATGTTAAACTTTAGAAAGTATTTTTTTGTCTAAGTAGACATTCTAAAATCTTGGCCTCTTAAAAAATACACGAGGAAAATTCACTTGCAGGTATCAAATGAAATAGGCCCCTGAAAATCAGGTTTGTCACTCTCATATTAACATTAAAAGAATTAACAAGGAACTAATGACGTCTTTAAAGAATATTTGTAAATGTATGTTTTATTTTAAAAAACTTAAAAAATTTAACGATAATTTTCAAACATACCTAGAAGAAACAGTATAACTGAACCCTCCATCGTTCAGCTTCAGGAATGATTGTATTTGGTTTTTTAAAAATAAGCATTTAAAAAATGTTATTTTTTAAGTTGTGGTAAAGGACAGAAGTCCCCCCTTATCTGCAGTTTCACTTTCCTGTTTCAATTACCTGCAGACAACTGCAGTCCAAAAATAGTAAATGGAAAATTCCAGAAAGAAACAATTCACAAGTTTAAATTTCCCGCCTTAGTGGGATGAAATCTCGCACCCTCCCACTCTGTTCTTCCTGGGAAGTGAATCATCCCTTGTCCAGCATATCTATGCTGTATATGCTGTCAATCACTTGGTAGCCCTCTGGGTTATCAGATCTAACTGTCATGGTATTGCAGAGCATGTGTTCAAGTCACCCTTATTTTACTTAATAATGGCCCCAAAGTGCAAGAGTAGTAATGCTGGCAATTCAGATATGCCAGATAAACCGTGAAGTGTTTACTGGAAGTGAAAAGGTGAAAGTTTTCAACTTAATTGTTTTATTTTACTATTGTTGTTAATCTCTTACTGTGCCTGATTTATACATTAAACTTTAACATAGTTACATACGTATAGGGAAAATAATAGTTCTTAGAGTGTTTGGTACTATTTGTGGTTTCAGGCATCCACTGGGTGTCTTGGAACATATTCCCCTCAGATAAGGGGAGACTATGGTATACATAGCATAAAAGTTATCATCTTAATCATTTTTAAGTATACAGTTTAGTAGTGTTAAGTGCATTCACACTGTTGTGCAACCAAGCTCCAAAAATTTTAAATGAATTTTTAACCTGCAGAGGAGTGTTTTAAAGAATAGTTTAAGAACTTTAACCTATTTTATTATTGTTTATCAAGTCAATAGCAAAAAGTCAAAGGTAATTTATTCTTTTACAATAGAACCTTTCTTGTTATAAAATTTTGAAATCTTTTCTTTGTTGAAAAAATGTATAATGTCTCTACATGGAACCCAAGATGTGTGTAACTGCACAATCAGGATTACTCTGAAATCTATCACTAATCAAACTAACTGATATGATGTTCCTTTCAAGTTTGCTGTCTCTTCAATCAAGTCGCTCACTGAAGGAATTTCAAATCACAAGTATAAATCTTTGCAGTAGTACTTCTATATAGAGTTGTGTAATTGAATCTCTTTTTTTAAAAAAAGACACCCTTTCATTTCTAGACCTCTACTTCAAATGAAAATTAAACAATTCAATTCATTGGGTTGCTTTTTGGCAGTCTACCTATAGATTTCACAAACCACTTTTTAGAGAGTTATCTCAGGAGTTCATCAACTGGCAGACCTAGTTAACAGGCCAACTGAACCACAGGGCACTCATTCACTGGTTTCTTTTTTCTTCCTGATTTACTTTTGGTATATTGTTGGACTACAGACACACTTTAATCTTATTACAGAAAAGTTTCTGAATCTACATTGACTGTTTAACCAGTAGTTGTGATATGGAACCAGACTAGGTTCAAGACTTTACTAATCTCTTGTAATAAAAAAGTGGTTGCAACCAAAGCGAGTAACAGGAAATTACAGACAGGAAAAGACAATCTCCTCTCCCCTGCCATAGATGTCCCCCTCCTTTTTAAATCTAATTTTTAGAAATGCTGGTGCTCCATACCACTTTCAAGATTCTTTTCTAATTAAGGGCAAACAAACAGGCATAGCTCTGAAAGACTTTGGTTTAGAGACATGGCAGAAATCTTACAGATACATTAAAGGGTATTTATAACAATAATTAAAGTAATATGGTTCACACAGGTTGCATTTGGCCATGCAATTGCATGTGTGAGACCCAGAATACTTAAAAGTACTATTTAAATACACGTAAATACTGAAGTCGAAATTAAACCCACTACCGGCAGTCACATGCTTGCCTGACTGCAATGGAACCACATTTCCTAATCCCTGAGTATTTGAAGGCTATATAAAGCTCCTTTAGAGGCACTTGTTTCCCACAACTCTGAGCTGCCTGGAAGTTAAGACAAGGGCATCTGGAGGCCTTAACTCCAAAACTGGAAAGCTTTAGGCTAACACCCTGATTAGAGATTAACTACTTTGAAAACCTGGAACATATTCTAAATGCTTTCCCTTTCTCATTTCTGTGTGCAGACATCACCTCAGTGCTGTATAAATTAGTCATACTGTAAGCTCTATTCTAGATGCTGTGTACAGTGCATACATAGAACAGCTCGCAGCGGTTGGAGTTGTGCATTGACCCATTTGTTGTGACCAAGGTGGGAAAGTAAGGTGTATTCAGTAGATGCCGTGGTTTGATAACCTGAAACCCTCCATCTTACCCGCCCCCGTCCCCAGACGGTTTTCTGCGAGGTAGGGTGAGCAAGGAAAGGGTGGGGTGGGGTTGGGTTGGTAGGTGAGTGGCGCCAGAAGCTGCCCAGGGCCGGGCAGGCGGATGCCTGGGAAGCCCCGGCTTCCCACCCATCCCAGGAGGGACTTCCTCACCTCCAATTTGTCTGTCAGCTCCTTGTGCATCTGTTCGTACTGCCGGCTCATGTCCTGGTTCCTCTCGAGCAGCGCCTTGCCCAGGCGGGCCGCCAACACCAGATCCTTCTCCTTCTGCCGGATCACCGACAGCAGCTCCGGGTCCTGGGCGGGCGGCGGCTGCTGTCCGGCTCCCTCCGCTAAAGGCCCAGGCTCAGCCGGAGGATGCTCCCCGGGGTCGGACGGCCGTTCCCCGGCCGCCAGCAGCGCCAATTCCTCCTCTAACGCCAGTTCTAGCTCCCCGGAGCTCCCGGGGAAGGAGACGAGGGCAGCGGCGGCTGGACTCCCGACTGCGTCCACGGCCGCGGCGGGCAGCTCCATGCAGCAGGCGCTGTCCGGCTCGGCAGGTGCTGAAGCGC